GTGTTTTAGATTAATTAAAGCAGTCGGGCAAGCCAAACTGAATTGCGGTCTGGGTGTCTGAACCCCGCCACCCACGGCCATTTATACCTAATCAGATGTATATATCGATACTGCAGGGCGCTGGGGATTGTATGAAATACATTAAACGCCTCGAGCCATAATTTACGAGCCGTGCCAACAAATGCTGGCCAAATAAATCTGAATTAGGGAGCAAGCAAGCCACAGCAAGCAGCAAACTACAAACAGCAAACAACAAACGGCAAACGACAAACAATATCGAAAATCGATCTCACGATCCGTGGTCACTTGATGCCGGTACCTCGTAAATTGTATTCATTACTCTCACCCGCTCCACGAGACTTTCGGCGCGGCGCGCGAAGGAGGCGCGTTTATCGGCGATGGACATGGTTGGGCTAGGGATCTGGATCTGGTTTTGGATCTGGACTGTCCGAATTGTTGGGATTGTTTTTCGGGAACCGACAAGTCACAGGGGGCGGATATCACGGGAGACCGCAGCTGGAACGAAAAGAGGGGAGAAGTTTAAATAGACTGTTATCTAAGGCACTCGATCGATATGGATTACAGTTTGTAATATCTAAGCAAATATCACAAGGTACACCCGTCATAGTCAAAGACAAAGCATATGCAAATACAGTGGATATCGCTTATAAGCACAAAGGCCTATTTGCAAATATTTGATATTTTGAAATTTTAGAACTCTCTTCGTTTCGGTCCATTTATTAAGAACTGAGTATCAGCCGTTGAATTCTTTTTATTTTTCCGTCCTACGTTTGAATTTGTTTATTGTTTATATGGGATAATTCATATATGCTATGCCCAAATAATGTAGCATACATGAACTGTATTTCAGACACATTTATAACTCTGGGCACCATAGGATGCCAACACGCGCCAAAATAAGCCCCTGACAAATCAGTTGTTTGAGGTCCCGGCCCCAAAACATTGAAAATCTGCCGCGTATTTTTAATATTTTGGCGGACACACTGAAAGACAAGCAATAATCAACAACTTGGCGCTGAAATGCAATTAATTTCTATGCACAACTTAGTTTCTTGACATTTATTTTGGGACATTTACCGTAAACCCGAATCGGAACTAGAACGCAATTTTAACTTTGGGATCAAAACTGTCAGCTGCCGAGCTCGGCATAAATATTCGCATGGAAATTATCAACAACTGGCATTAAAAACGAGGCGGGGGGAGAGAAACTATGGTGCGGAAACGATCGCATGCGAGGAACGCGTCCAAATCGGAGGAATACCGCCGTAGAACTGATGACACACACGGTCCGTATGCTCGACTTTTGTAGCGGGTCGAACATAAAGAGAGTGCCGCGGGAAATACGAAATTCATTATTTTATTTTTAAATGCTGCTCTCCTCTCGTTCTCCATTGTTTTCCCTTTTTCTTGGCAGATTGATTTATGGATTTAAGTGCAACAGGTGCCACTCAAAGACGGTCGTTCGGAAATGCGTCGGAAGACTGGCGGACACACCCACCGTTCCCATACTTGCACTGATTGGAGCACAAAGCTGGATGCAATTTGCATAATAATAACTAAGAGCACTGTGCCCTAAATGATGCAAATTTGGCTTGACGCACTACAATCATTTGCATAAGCTTTGTAAAAATTCTATCTGCAGCCCTAATTCAACAATTAAATACATATGTCCATAAATAGATACTGCGAAGAAATGCAAAATTAGATTTGATCGTGATCCATACACTTTTATAACCGTTACTCGTAGAGTTAAAGCGCAAGATTGATTGATCACGGTAACACGCCTACTTTAACGCCCCAAACCGCACAAGTGAAAATGAGATTTTGTCTTTTTTTATATCTAGGTACCTATTCACATGTTAAAATTATTAAATTTGGACCATCAATTACAACCCATTAATTACCTTCTTAATACAAATTACGTAGTTTAACAAGAAATATTTTATCTGAACTTTTCAAGCTGTTCGAGTAATCCGACCTTGTGACCTACTTAAGCTGAACTGTTTCAAATGGATCATTGGACTCATAAGATCATGATCATGATCGATGATTCCATTACACTATAGGCTGGATGACCACTTTTTGTGGCCTTAATTAATAACTTAAAAACGAAGCAACAATTTAAAGGTATTTTTTTTTTAATTGCATATATAATATTAAATTTATGTTTTTTATGAAAAAATGGGCATGGTCACGCCTTTTTTCAAAAAAAAAATTTTTTTTATGACAAAAATAAATTTTAAAAATTATATTTTTGTATTGTTTTGTTTATAATAAAAAGAATATAATTACCAAAAAAAAATTGAGTGACTTCCATTTTTTTGTTAAGTGCAATCGAGTTTTAATTATTAAAATCAATATAAGAAACACAAAAAATTAAAAAATACTTTTTAACAAAGTTATTCTTTTGAAAAAATGCTGTAAAATAATTTTTTTATTACTAATATATAATTAGAAAGATACCTGTATACCGTTCATTAAAAATATCATCGCAATTGACAGTTGTGCACCAATTTTGCGTGTGTTTTGCCGTTGTAGGTCGAGGCCTTTAAATACAGATTTTGGAAAAAGTGGGCAAAAGTGGACCTTCAAATTACATTCATATGACAAGAATCGAAATCCCCACAACCCAGTATAAATATTAAGGTGAAACTAGGTCACATTCTCTTTGTTTGTCTATTTAAAGATGAGTTTTTATTTCGAATTGTTAAAAGTTAAAGGGGTATAAATAAATTGTCACTTGCAAAGAAACTGCATTATATTTTAACAATTAAAATATACAAATAATTAGTTTAATCCACTCTCTTTCGATGCCGTAAAGCACCGGTTGTTATAATCGTTTTAAATTGCTCTTTGAATTAATTTAAAAGTTCTTGTTTTTATTAAATTATTTGATCCACGTGCGCCCGTCACTGGCAACAGCTGTTTTAACAGCCTGTACCTTAACAGTGCGAGCCTCTGTTAAAATTTCTGGTATGTAACATTAAAGTCTGATGTTATCCTAACAGAATGACATCATTGGATCCTAATTTTAAGGACTTTCAAAAAATTACTTTTGGCCACCTAAAGTGGTCATCCAGCCTATAGTGCATTAGCCCATGAACTGAATTCCAAAGTGATTCCAATCTAGCTCTAACTCGGATCTGTTTTTCAACTCCACACTTTTTTATTTAGTTAATATTAGTAAATGGCAGCCTCAATAAAGGAGACTAAGGACCGTTTTCCCGTCCGCCTGTTATATTTAAAGCAAACTTTGAATTTTCAAGGTGTTAACCCTACTTTAAGGGCCGTTTTCTCGTCCGCTTGTTAAATTTAAAGTAGGGTTAAAACCTTGAAATCGTATGGGAAATTATAGTTTTAACCGTACTTTAAATTTAACTGGCGGACGAGAAAACGGCCCTAAGTTTAACAAACGAAAGAGAAAACGGGTCTAAGATTTATATTGAAGAGTTTAAATGTCCAGACTTTGAATCAGGGTTCGTAAAATAACACACTTGTATTATTATGTTAAAAGTCATAGTGTTAAGTTAAAACGCGGACGGAAAGCTAACTTCGGCAAGCCAAAGTTTTAATAGCCTTGCAGATTTCACAAATGAAAATTTGACTAGAGTAGTAAAAGGAACTAACAAACAAACAAAACATTTTATAAATAAAAGTAATCAAACAAAATAAAATTTTAACTTCTTACCATAGTTTTAATACCTCTGCAAGGGTATACAAAATTATTGACATGAGTGCAAAAAAATTTTTGCCTACATATGTTATAAACATAAACAACACGCACAAATTATTTGTGTTATTAAACACAATTAGGCTGTTCAATTGCGTTGCAAACTTTGTAAAGTGTAAAAGTGTATATCAATTCCAACATCAATTTCTATCAGGGAACGTAACTGTTATAAGTTTTATTTTAAAAATCACACTTTAACAGTTACTTTCTGATTTGTAAAGTAAAACTCAAAGAATAACTGTTATTTTTTGAGTTTTATAATAAAAGTTGACAAATAACAGTTATTCGTCGTGATCAAAATAAAACTCAAACTTGATTTATGGCGATTTTGTGGGTAAACAAAATTTTAAAAAAATATAGGTATAAAATATGCGCAGTTGCCTTTTTTAACAAATTTTTAGTAAATTATAAAAAGCACGGATATTATGTTTTTTTTAATTATTTCATTTTTTCAAAAATGTCAAGGGAATAACTGTTATTCATAAAAATCTAAAAATAACAGTTATTTTTTGAGTTTCATTATAAAAATCAAAAAATAAAAATCATTACGGATTTGTAAACTACAATGGCTAATAAAAATTGTGGTGTATTTAAAAAATTTTTAGGACCCTTCTAAGTGCGTGATTTTTTTGTATGAAAAATTTACAATAACAGTTATTTTCGTTCCCTGATTTCTATACAAAATAGTTTTAAAGGCCTACTTTTGAAAATTTTGTTGTATAGAAATTGTTGTTGGAACTGCCTTACACTTTTACACTTTACAACGTTTGCAACGCAATTGAACACCCTAAATGTGATATTTACACAACGTGTTTTTTACAAAAACGGGTTATTAACAATTTTTTACATTGACATTTACATTTACTTTACTTTCAGTAGAGTTACCCATCCATACAACCCTTTTTTTAGCAGAGTCAACCTCCACAACCGCGTTGTCAACTATTTACTAGTTGTAATCGATATTTGTATGTCTTTCTTGAATGTTGTGTAAATAAATATTTTTGAATGGAACGCGGATTACCAACCTTAATTTTAAATTGATAAATTAAAAGATCCAAAATTAAATTCTGGTGCTTGAGAAAAGCTCAGTGAGTGAAAGGCGAAATACGAAATTGCAATTGTTTTCTATTTGTATTATTTTTTCTTCAAAGTCAAGCTACGAAATGTAAACAAATAACAATTTCAAATGGTTTAATTTAAAAACCATCGGTGGTATCGATGTTTCCTTCTCAGGCATCGATACTATCGATCAAACATCGATTTCAGTTCCAGCTCTATTTTTTGTGCAATTATTTATTAAAAATAAGCAACGACACGACGTGTGACAACGAACCACGAAGGCAACGAAATGGCAACGCGCGGCGGTCCAATGGTCGCGGGCACCGACGGCAACGACTTCGAGTTCAGGCAGCGCGTAGCTGGCACATATCAAATTAGGTTAATAACACTGCATCTCATCGGCAGCTCTCTCCCACACACACGAAATTATCTAATTACTGGGGCGCCTGCGGCAGTAGTCAGCCATGGCAGCAATGCACATCACAAGTGGCCCCCAGGAGCTCCCCCCACGACCTGGAGCTCGCACCCACTGGCGGGCGCGAAGGGGGCGGGTGGGCAAAGTGCCAGCTGGGCAGCATGTGCGCCCCAGTAACGGGCTCAGTCCACACAGATCCCCCACTGAACGACCGCTTTCTCTTTCAGCCTGCTGAACAAGTCCAGGTTGAAGTTCTGCATCTTCTTTCACGCCCTGCTCTTCTTCGTGATGCTGGCCAAGCTCACGTCGGACATCCTGGACCGCCTGGACATCTTCGTGCTGGAGATCGAGGAGCTGGAGGTGCCGCCTCCGCTGTGGTGGGAGTACGTGTGGGCCGGGTCGCTGCTCACCAGCTTCCTGGGCCTCTCGGCCGCCCGGGGCAACAAGGTGCGCGAGATGCAGAAGTACATGGTGGCCATCCTGCTGTTCGCCATCCTGCCGCTGTTCTACTGCTTCGCCTACTACTTCTCGGACGTGTGGGAGTTCGCCACGCTGGACAAGTCCGTGGAGCTGGACGAGACGGACATTTTTGTGTGGCGCGTAAGTGGCAGGCCCAAAAATTCCCCAGAGAACGCTACTAATCCTTGGTATCCCTACAGGGCTATCCGTACGGGGTGTTCTGGTACGCCTTCTGCTTCGTAGGCTTCCAGGTGCACGGATTCACGCTGTACTTCGCCTACAACCTGGTCAAGGCCTGGAAGGCCAGAACTGCCACGCGCAAGTTCCAGTAATCTAAATACTCGCCAAACTAGTAAACGTCGGAGAGCAGGGCTAGTTGTAAATAATTTGGAAACTTGAAACTAACTCGAAACACTAGTGCACAAGAGCGTAATGAAACTATGGTAAATCTAAAGTTATGCAGCTGTTAAGGTATCGCACACTTAGTCGTACAGGAAGGGAAAACATATGGTCGAAACTAAACGAAGCGTCGGCGTTAAAGTTATTGTTAGTTGAAAGTTAAACCGTTCAAAATGATTAAATAGACTCTTATCCATATACACATATATATACACACACGCAGCCTTGTGAGGTCAACTAAAGACAAGAAGCAACTGAAGCCACCAAATTTCCCCGAGTCGGAATAAAAACCAAAAACCAACCTAAAGAGATCACTTCATTTTTGCTTACTTACATTTCGACGTGCCTCGTGTTTGTTAGAAACGTTTTATATATATTTACACATGAAAATATGCAAACATCAATCTATGTTTACGTCTGCGGATGGCTACTTCCTCGCTTAGTTCATAATTAGTTCACTTTTTCTACAAATTTCGAAACCGTTTCATTTTCCTCATGTATTTTAATTTTGAATTCCGTTCATCGATCTGCACAGAGCCATTCTGTGAGTCGTGGCCGAAGGTTTGAAAAACTGCCCCAAACTATTTACAACTTTCTGTCACTGTTTACACACAACTATAACTAGGGATTCAAATGCAATTTGAGTGTTAAAGCAAAGTTCATTCAATTTCTGATCGTCAATAATATTGTGTAATGACAGGCTAGTCGCCAAACTAACTGAGAATTGAATTTTAATGTAATACTGTTTTTTAAATCGTAATTTATTATTCGAATTTTTAAGTAGTTTTTTAAAAATCGATCAATAAAGATGCATATATATTTGTTCTTCTGAGTGGGTTAAAAGGCGCATTTTATTTGTAGAAGAAAAAGGAGTGCGCAAGGAAACTATAGCTACAAATAACGAATTTTAAATCGTTTTCTGTTACTTTTATTGTCCTAGATTATTCGTGATAATTCCATTCCTTTTTGATTATTTTAAACTATTTTTATTTTTCTTCAGCATTGCTCAAGAAATTTATTGAAAGTAAAGTGCATAATTTTAAATAAAATTCGATTTGGTACTCCTAAAGGATGGAAACGGGTTTCTGAGCTTTCCTCCTTGAAAAACACCACCAAAAGCCGACCTTCCCCCACCCAATCTTAACCCACTGGGCGTTGCAATGCGGCTGGCAGGCCGAGTTGGCCACAACAAATCCAGTATTTAGTGACCATTTGTGCATCGAGGCGAGTGGAGGAGCAACAGCAGGCGAAAATTGCGCAATTGTTTACAATTTCGGATTGAAAGCCAGGACGCTAAGAGAGAGAAAAGCTGGGCAGAGAGCCAAAGCTTTTTCGCAGCATCCTTTCCTCCCTCGCTCGCTCTGTATCCCTCTTTTAGTCCCCATTCTGACGTTGCCTGTGTGAAGAACAGATGCAAAATTTTTTAACCTTTTCGGACCAAAGTAAACAAGAAAACTATCAAAAAACAATTGTGAAAAAATCCAAATTCATCGAGAAAATTTTGTCAAAATTAGCGGAGCAGAATGCGGGGCGAAGAAACGACCTACAGGCGCACAACGCGCGAGAAGATTGTGCTGCGGGGAAACACAACCATACGCACCGTGGACTCCACTTCCACATACCTGCCCGTGATGAGTCCTGCGGGGTGAGTGTTTCGCGGGGGTGTGGACGAAGGGGATGGCAGCAATTAGAGGCGATAGGCGTGCCGGGACACTTGAGCGTTCCATGACTGTCGCCTCAAAATCGATTTTTATCTCGGGCTGCAGCTGATTTTCAGATACAGATATAGGTACTATATGTGCGCAGGCAAAACGACCTTCGCCTGTGGCTTTCCTCTGGTTTTCGGAATGAGCTGATGTGAGATGACAAACTACTCAAGGGCTCCCCTATTGCGGTGCTCTTAAATGTATGCTATAGTTCTTTCGGATCCATGATTGCAGGCCAACTCGAGAACCGGCTTTCCACGCCCGCATGCAAGACCGCCATTAAATTACATTGCCGGCAAATTATTAGGAATCCGCTGCCATTTGAGTAAATACTCGGGCATACATAAGTGAGTGAACCGCCTTGCTTTCCCCAGAAATCGATGGAATCTTGAGCTAGAAGCTAGCGTGCATTGACCACAGTCCGCGTTGGGTAATACGAGGAGTATGGAATGTTGTGAGGACAATTCGAACTTTGAATGTCCTATGATTAGGTTATTTATTTCAATGGTTCCTAAAATATTTACATTGTCTAATTTTTAATAGCCAAAACCATTAGAAAATAGAGATATTAAGAAAGCATCTTTTAAACATATTTTCATTTATGTTTCTCAAATAAAAAAAATATTTAATATACAGCCAATTGGAATAATAAGCTGATTCTAATACCTTTCCTTTTGTCATTGCTAAAAAATAATAATACTACAATTTTAGTTTAGCTTTTGAATGGAATTCCATGTAATTTATTGCAATTTAAAGACCGACAAAAATTTGTATTTAAATATTTATTAAAAATACCTATATGCAATTCCTATAAGTCAATAGCTTGCAACAGTCAATCTGATCACCTATTCTCCATGTTTTCCTCCAAGGTACGCTACTCTTTCCCTGTAAATGACCATGATTGAAACCGCCCCCTAGAAGTACCCTGGCAAACTTCCTTTAACCTCAATTCGCATTCACATAGACGCACACAAACCAACTCGGAAAACTACCCGGTTCGGTTCAAAGTGAGTGTGATGGTCGCCTTTGTTGTGGACGCGTCGTCCAGTCGAGCGGTCAGTTGGTCTGCAACCCTTGAGTCGTCAGGTGGACGGCTCGCCTCCTCGAGTTTCGTTTTCGAATTTCCATTGCCAGCCAATCGAGGGGTCCGGGCGTGGACTGTCAAGGAGCCAAGTCTCCGCTCGAGCATAATCGCGTGTGTGTTTAAATTCAAAGTGTAGTGTCTGTCTCGTCGTTATCCGTCTGACGCCGGCACAGCGCCATGTTCAACACCAGTGCCCAGAATTGGTTCGGCATGGGCCAGACGTCGGTGGCTCCGGCCGGCGGGGTTGCCCAGTTGCTCAACAACAATTCAAGTCTCTACAATCAGCCGCAGCAGACGGCGCCACATCCCTTCATGCGCCAGCGATCCTTGACCAGCTCCAATCCCGCCCTGGAGCGCTCAAATGCCATCGCCGTGCGGCCCCAGTCGCCACCCAACGTCCAGGTGGAGTACGAGGTTTCGGTACCCTTCGTATCCGCTTATCGTCACACCCCATATCATTCGCTCTGGGACTTACACCAGTGGTAAGGGGCAGTGGGAATCCTTGGCTCTAGATAGTAACTCTAGCTCCCTGAATACCTATTCTTAAGAACTCTATAAATGTCTAGAGGTTTGAAATCCCTTCAACATTTATGTGTCGAAGAGAGAAAATGTCAATCTCTTTTCCATTGATCCACAGGATTTTATGACTAAAAATATATTGTAGCACACCTTTGTACTCTATTTTAAAATATTTGAACTCCGCAGAATTAATTATTGTGGAACCTTCGAATTTACAGATCGGTTTGAAAACAGCCTTTTCCTTATCTAATCCTAAAATAACCCTCCCTTTAATTATAATTAATTATTTAATAATTATTTCTCGTATGGAGAGTTCATTGGGCGAATTTGAATTTCCTGACCTGACAATCCACTATGTACCTCCTTTATTTTTAAACTAGACACCTTAAAGGATTTTTTTTATTGTGTTCCCGAGGAAAGTTACCCTCTTGACCCCATCCGGTTCCCTCCGTGAACGTATTTCTGCCAGTCATAATTGCCACTTGCTGTAATTTGCATAGGGCAAAACGCTGTTCTCTGCTGGGCCAATGGCTTTATCGAGTAGGAATTAGCATAAACACCTCTTGGTGACACGAATTTTAAAGAGACCATCATAACTAGTAGTCCAGGTACTAGTCCGCCATCATTGGTCTTTCCCATGCCTGGGTATTTTCCACGCTCGGGCCGGCCTTGTAACACTTTGCCAATCAATCAATGGCTCAATTAAAATGCATAGATTAAGGGCCGTTGATTCTTGAATAGTACATATATAGGACAAGTAAGCACTGGCCTAGTTATTCGCTCGGCTAATCATTCCCATCAGGAATCAGAAGTCGTGGGCGAGCACATAGGAAACATTAACCCAAATTCGAACGAGTACGGCACACAATATAAATAACAAGCGGATGTGCCAGGAGTCAGGCAATATGGTCGGGAATTATGGTCGTGCTGCTGCTGCCAACTTAATTAGCCTGGCGAAAAATATATAGCGGCATAGTTCCCAGATCGAGATTTACAATGTTGAAGCCGTAAACGCTTTAATGCCTCCGGATGACGCATGCAAATGCCAAAAAAACAATTCGAATGCGAATAAAGCAGTTAACAATTGTCGCCGGCACGTCAATAACCTGGCCGAGAGCCAACGAGTTTATTGAACCCACCTGCCTTTGAATAACCGTCCCCCTTGGGAGGCACCACGAACTCTTTATTTCCTGGAAGTTCCCGAGCATTGTCAGCGGAGGGCCTCGGAAGGGGCAGGAACTCCGCTAGGGCTAGCTAATATTAGACGGCTAGACACGAGGAATCCAACCAATATATGTGCACACACCAGGACACGCAAAGTACTTGTCCGCGGCTGATAAAGCAAATGACCTTTGCGACATGGCCAAGTTGAATGGCAAGCGCCACGAAGCTACCAAAAAGTTATGGACAGTAAACCATAAGTTTCAAAAATGTTCTGTTAGGGAAATGGTTTAGCTTGTGTTATGTATGCTGATACAAAGGGCCACGGTTTTGTGGGCTATTTTCATTTTTATCGGTAAAATTTTTAGATATGTTAAAATCAGTAGCGGATCTAGGATTTTGTTGTGGGGGGTGAAACCGGATACTTTTTGAATACCAATTCAAATCCGAACTGATCCTTTAATCGGGGTGTCACAGAAATCTCTTTTCTTCTTGTATATAACACTTTTGGAATGACACATCATTTGTGCCTATCCAAACTAATTTTATCATTCATCATTAATTTTATTTTTATGATATTTTGGGTGTTTCAGTTTGTAATTTTCCATTAAAAATCGATGTTTGCCGACATTTTGAATTATAATTGGAAATGATTAAAAAACATAATGACACACAAACATACTGCGGAATTGGATCAACAGCATTACCATTTAGGGTACGGAAAAGGATATCTTGGTATCCCCATCGACTTTTAGTTCCTTTTCACCTTCTCAGATGATATATGTACAATAGGGCGGTCCACATATGTATGGAAAATTTTAAGGTCCTACTCTCACCCGCTTATACGGTGCGCATTGTGGTATTCAAGGTATACCAAAAGACAATTTTTAAAAAAATCGTGTTTTAGGGTCTGCGAATTGGTTTCAAAGTTTATCACCCATACGCACTGTTGCCTTCGATCAAAAAGTTTTTCTGATCAAGGTGGCATAGATATCAACAATTCAGTTGATGTTTTACTCTCCTTTTTTTTACGAATTATTTCAACGAAATTCATAATTTGACAAGACAAGAAATGGGAGAGCGATTTTTTTCGACCAAATTCGAACTGGTATACATGTCGTATGAGTAATTTTAAAGAAAACTTTGAAGACGTTTCGCAAGGTCTAAATCTCGAAAAAAAATTGTTTTGTTTTCACATACATTTTTTGCATACTTTAATATACCATGTTAAGGGGTGAGAAAAGAATTTCATTTTTTGGACCGCCCTAATGTACAAATTCTATCTATAGGCTAAGGGGTTCGGTTAGTTGATCCCAAAAATCAAGTAATTTTTTCTAGCTGCAAAAAATGTTGTTAGCACCTTTTAGAAGACCCGTGGGTGAATATACTGGCCAAAGTCCTCCTTTTCTGTGATCAGTTTTTTGGCTTGTCTGTCTTGTTTCTTAAGCTGAGTAATGACAGCTCTGCAGTGCACTGTCATATCGTGAATAACAGTTTCTAGTAACTGCATGCTCGGATCCAAGGGGGGCGGTATGGGTAATATATATCCCCCCCCCACTATGGTGAAATATAAAATAAATTTAGGTATGCAACAAAAAAATTGTTCTGATACCCCCCCACAACCGAATCCCAGATCCGCCACTGACCAACCGACACCCATCATTCATTCCAGCTCATCCACACCTCCGACTAGCCTATCGCACATGGCCCGGATGATGGACTCCCTGATCCTGGACTCGCTATCCCCATTTGGCTTTACAAAGATTACCGCCACCAGTAGACCCTCTCGGAATGCCAGCTTGAAGAAGAGTTCGGATGGCGGACATTCCTCGACAGCGGATCGCCTCCGGCCGATCAACAACTTGGGATCGAATGCTCCCGGAGGATTGGGCATTGGCGGAAGTGTTCCGTTGCGCAGCAAGCAGCGACTGCCCACCCAAGGTGAGTGCTCCGCGATGGGGGTTTATTATATAATCATTAATAAGATGCAGTCTCCGCCGCAGAAGTGGCACCTCAGCCGCGAGCCAGTCAGACGCAGGCCCAGATGCCGTTTCCATCGCAGCAGCAGGACAATCGGTGGGTGTCCTCCCTAAGGCGTCGTGATCCCGAGTTGCAGCCCACATTGCCCTCCATCAGCAGCAATGTGAACAGCAGCAGCCTGGGGCAGAGCCACCACGGGAGTGCCGGGAATGTGGGACTGGCGGGCGCAGGAGTACCCACACCGGCCACCAGCATGGGCGCCATGAGGCTGGGGAGACCTCCCAGGGCATCCGCCATGACTGCTGCCTTGAGGAAGAGTCGATCCGTGGAGCGCCTGCGGGCAAGGAAGCTCAGCACCAACACCCAGCTGACTCTCAAGCACAAGCCGGTGAAGAAGAACTCGCTGGACGAGAACTCAAACTCGGACGACCAGGACGCCACCACTTCGCTGGAGGACAACTCGCACGCCCAGTCCCTCTCCACCAGCCACAACACGCCCAAGTGCTCGCCCAAGACCAAGGCCAAGCACTTTTCGCCGCTGGGCTACGAGGCTCATCTGGTGGACACCCTCGAGAAGGACATCCTGCAGCGACACCCGTGCATCAAGTGGCAAGATGTGGCCGGTCTCAATGAGGCCAAGACAATACTGCAGGTGAGGTTTTTACAACATTCAGACCAAATAATCAGTGAATTCGGAATCCAAGCACACCAAAAATGTACCTCGATGGATGCAATAAAATTGAATTCGCTTCGATTTCCCAATATGTACGGCGTTCCCCGAAAAGTTTCCCGACGCCAGGATCTTTAGAAAAAGTCCTCAAAGTTGGAAAAATGCTGAAGTTTGCTAGCTTTCGGGAGGTATTACAGGCAATCGGATTATAGGTTTGCCATTTTAAAAGTGCCACTCCTTATCTTTCAAATCCCATACTCAGAATAGTTTTAACTTTCTTATTACAATTTTTAAAACTTTCTTTGCATAAAATAAGGATATTTATATTTTCGGTTATAATTTCTTTGACAAAATTCCCAAAATTGGTGGGGTTTGAATGATAAAAGGGTTGCACTTTTAAAAAGTTTTGACTGCATAGAAGAATCCGTTCGCCTGTAAAATAGGTTTTAACTTGATCAAAAATGAAATTTTCGCAACTTTAAGGTATTTTTTCTCAGAATCCTTGCGTCGGGGAGTTTATTGGCGAAGTAAATAAATAAAGCATTAAAGTTGGCCAAATTTTAAAAAGAAATATTAAACGTTTTCAAAAATATAAAACAAAATTTGTAAAAATCGTTAGATTTATAAAATTCTTTACAATTCTTTTTGCTTCTAAAATTTTTTTTGGTTTTTATGTGAGTCCGTCCGTAATATTTTTCTATTATATCTATTGATCTGTTTAAAATACAAATTAGAAAATTATTGGGTACTTACAGAAACTCACTTGAATTATTTTCCCCAAACAGGAAGCGGTGGTGCTCCCGGTCATTATGCCCGAGTTCTTCAAGGGAATCCGGCGGCCATGGCGTGGAGTTTTGATGGTCGGACCGCCGGGAACGGGCAAAACTATGCTGGCCAAGGCTGTGGCTACCGAATGCGGCACCACCTTCTTCAACGTGTCCTCCTCGACCCTGACCTCCAAGTATCGGGGCGAGAGCGAGAAGCTGGTGCGACTCCTCTTCGAGATGGCTCGCTTCTATGCCCCCAGCACCATCTTCATCGACGAGATCGACGCCCTGTGCGCTTCCAGAGGCAGTGACTCGGAGCACGAGGCCAGTCGTCGGTTCAAGGCCGAGCTGCTCATCCAGATGGATGGTCTAAATGCGACCATGCAGGAGGAAAAGGTGATCATGGTGCTGGCGGCCACCAATCACCCGTGGGATATCGATGAGGCCTTTCGAAGACGCTTTGAGAAGCGGATCTATATTCCTCTCCCCAACGGTAAGTGGGTGTTGGACAAAATTATATCCGTCCGTCCGTCTGTCCGTCCGTTTCTACGCAAACTAGTCCCTCAGTTTTTAAGCTATCGGGACCAGAAAAAAAAACGTGCAAAAAATTCTTGCTTCGGTGTTTTTTGAAATATTACCTTCTACTCTTGGGAACATAATTTTTAAATATTTTTGAATTTAGAATTAAACAAAAAATCGGATCATTATGTCATATAGCTGCTATAGGAACGGTCAAAAAATTAAATAGAAATTAAAAGGAAAAAAATTATATCTTTGTTGATTTTTATTACAATCTCTTCTTCTCTGGGATATAGCTTTTCTTCAACATTTTAAAATTTCGAATTAAATTTAACAAAATTAGGACGTATATATTTCATACCTGCCATAGGAAGGATCAAAAAAAGTATGTAAAAATAATACGAAAGCAGTTAAAATGGTGATTGAAGTAATTGATATACGCAAGTAAACCTAAATTAAATTTTTTTGAAGGTAATAGGAAAGATATGCAAGGGTATATAAACTTCGGCAGGCCAAAGTTAACTTCCTTTCTTGTTTTCTAAACAAATAAATAATCTCTAAAAAATAAACTATTGCTTTTCAGAGGACACCCGGTCGGCTCTTCTGAAACTTTGTCTGAAGGACGTGTGCCTGTCTCCCAGCCTGAACACCGGAATGATCGGCGACGAGCTGCTGGGCTACTCGGGCTCTGATATTAGCAACGTGTGCCGCGACGCCTCTATGATGGCCATGAGACGCCTCATCTCCGGCCGCACTCCCGATCAGATCAAGCAGATTCGCCGCGAGGAGGTGGACCAGCCGATTACTTTGCAGGACTTCCAGGACGCCCGGCAGCGCACCAAGAAGTCCGTGTCCGCCGACGACGTGGCCCGCTTCGAGAAGTGGATGGAGGAGTACGGGTCCTGCTAGTTGTACGGGCTGCTTGCCCAGCACCCTCGATAGTTGTATCCCATGCGTACTTCCAAGTCTCAATTGCAATACTTTTCAATCTGTATAAATCGTACTCGCTAGCCGTAATGTTTTGTGTTTTATATACGCTTAATTGCTCAAGTGCCCCACGCCCAGCATTGCCCCTCTATGTACGTGCACTCGGTAATCTGATATCTATAAATACATGATATATACACTGGAACCACATATGTAATTTTTAATATTTATTCATAGGCTTATAGCAATATAATGTATTTTGTAATCAACATATTTGAAAACGGAAAAACGAAATAAATTACTCAACACCCCTTGGATCCGCAGAACCACTAGGCTTTCAATTTGTCGATGGTGCTCTGATAGTCTTGCTCGACCACACTGTACTCCTCCTGCAGCTGCTCCATTCGCTGTTTGATCGTTGGCAGGCGAGCCCGCAGCATCTCCGTGTCCATCTTAAAGCGCTCCATTTTCTTCAGATCCTTCAACTGCTTATAATAGACGGCGTTGAGTCGTTTCTTCACTTCCAGCCGATAGGACCGGTACTCCTTTTCGTCCTTCACATTGGTGTAAAAGAGACGCAGCAGCTCGTACACCTTACGCACCTGGCGGGGATTGAGCTTCAGGGCTTCTCGAGCCTCGCGCACCATCTCCTTGTTGAACCCCTTGACGATTTCGGCTCGAGCAAACGACTTCAATTCCCTGCAGGATCGGGCGTCCACAAAGTTGCGCAAACGCTGGAAATCCTCGGAGGGATCCTCCACGGTGATGTCCACCACATTCTTCTGAGACTGATAGAACTTGTAAATGGTCTCCACCATCTGGGTGGCCAGGCCGAGTTTCTGGAATGGCGGCAATATCAGCATCTGGCTTATCCTTGGCCGCTTGTTCTGCGGATAGGCGTAGTACTCGTATACGGTGGTGTAGCCAGCAGTGGCGTACTGCCACTGGCCATCGTTGTTCTTGTACTTTTCATAGCTGAAGGGAAACAGAACAAGAGAAAGTACTGAGCAACCTTAAATATTAGAAATTTAGAACGAGAAAATAGATTTCTCATGTACAAATAAAGGATTCCATCATTGTAAATGTGCATGCTTAAACCAACTTGCATATTTAGAAATGGAATCGAGACTTTCATATTTATATGAACTCAGAATGAATGTAATGTTAAACGATTAGTGTGTAAGAATATCTTCATTTTCGGCATTTTAAATATAGAAAATTGTAGGGCCAGCCAAAATTTGAATTCACTATCGCAAAATATAAAAAAGAGTACATAAGTTACCTCAAGAAGTAGCACCACTGTGGGTCGTCGGTGTCGATGTAGGAGGCGGCGTCCACGAACCACAAGATGAAGGTCTGCAGGCGGCCAAAGAACTTGAGGAATGAGGAGCTCTTGTAGTCGCACTGGTAGATCTCGAACAGCCGCTCGCTGCCGTCGTCCGACACCCGGGTGTATTCACTGATCTTCTCGCCGAACGGCTGGAACTTGTCCGCCTTGTCCAGGGTCTTGAGGAACTCATCGAGATTGATGAAGTAGCAGCCGTCCGGCAGACTTTGGGCAATGGTGCTGACCACGTCGTCGGCCTTGATCTCTCCGCCGGAGATCTCGTTCACCCGCTTGCCGTACTCGACGCCCAGGTAAATGTGCAGGGGTCCTGCCGTGTACATCACGCGCACGTGAAGATCCTGGTAGCCGAAGATGGTCTCGGACTCGCCGAAAATCTGGTGGGCCATCGCGGGGTGGAAGGTCAAGGCGTCGTTGTTGATGTCTGCCTTGTCCCGGACTGAAAGCAGGGGCATTGCAAGACTATCTCGGATCTAGCCAAGGGCGCCACTTACTCAGCTTGAAGTCCACAACCTCCAGGGCGTCGATCACCAAGTTCTGGTACTCCTCAATTTGTGCCATTTTGTGGTATTTCCAATGCCGCCAATCAAATAGTTTTTGCAGATGGTACGACAGGAGCTGTTTTCGGGACTGCTTGCTGGTGACACTTGCGTTAAGTCAAGCAAACATATATCTTTCAAAATCAACGGAAAGGCACGCTTTATGGAAAACTAGTCCGATTTTGTGGTGTTTTAGCAATTTTCGCGGCTAAACAAAGATTTTTGGCTTCCCACCAGTGTTGGACAACGTAAGCTAGCCCACATATAGGGTTGCCAGCAGTGTCGATGGAACTATCGGTGGCGATATAGAATATCAATTAAAACGTAAAATAAATTTAATCACGATGTCCTTATGCAATTAATTAAAGTTTTAACGATTAACGACTATAGCTGTCTTGTCTGAAAATTACAATCTTCTACAGAACTATTGCCGCTCTCTTTTGTTTCTCGCAGCCTTGAATTGTATTGAGAAAAATTGCACCACATTTGTTTTATCCAAAATGTTGTTTAAATGTGACACATTTAGCGTTGATATTTCCATTTCAAAATCAAAATCCACGTCTGCCAAACACTTTACAACACAGAAATTTAACAACACAGCGTTTTTAAGCATCGATAAGTATCGATGCTTATTTGCAAAAATAGGGGCATTCATACAGCATTTGTAAGCAGAAATTTGTGCGGTGCGGAGAAATATTATTAGAAAACGCCGCTTTTGCATCCAGCAACGCAAGGAAAACAAGGAGGCGAGCCAACCAGGTTGCGGACAAGACGACGTGCAGCATTTTACCCAGCGACAACCAGTTCGAGTAGACTCCGCGGCAGGAAAAAGACGAAGGCGAGGTGAGTGGGAAAACTGCCTCGTCATAGCGGCAAAAATACAAGTCGCCTGCTTTTCAGAGCACAATGGACACCTATTTGTTCGATGGCGGCCGCATCACCAAGATGGAGGTGGACTACGAGCCGGCCTGCAACGAGAAAATCCCCCTGGCCAAGGAGCTGGCCAAGAAGAACCCCGACGCCTTCCACGAAGCCATCGAGATGATGCTGCAGCTGGAGAAGCAGACGCGCCTGGGCGCCGACATGGTCTCCTGCTCGCGCGTCCTGGTGGCCATCTGCCAGATCTGCTTCGACGCCGCCAACTGGAACGCCCTCAACGAGTACGTGTCTCTGCTGGTCCGCCGTCGCTCCCAGCTGAAGCAGGCCGTGGTCAAGATGATCCAGGAGTGCGTCACATATGTGGACAAGACGCCCGACAAGGAGACCAAGCTGAAGCTGATCGACACCCTGCGGTCCGTCACCGAGGGCAAGATCTACGTGGAGATCGAGCGGGCCCGCCTCACCAAGATCCTGGCCGACATCAAGGAGGCCGACGGCGACGTCGCCGGAGCGGCCACCGTCATGGAGGAGCTGCAGGTGGAGACCTACGGCTCGATGGACAAGCGCGAGAAGGTGGAGCTCATCCTGGAGCAGATGCGCCTCTGTCTGCTGAAGGAGGACTACGTGTCCACGCAGATCATCGCCAAGAAGATCAGCATAAAGTTCTTCGATGATCCCATACATCACGATCTCAAGCTGAAGTTCTACTATCTGATGATCCAGCTGAACCGGGACACCTCCTTCCTGAATACTTCGCGCCATTACCAGGCCATTGCGGAGCCGCCGCGCAAGAAGACTGGCCTCACACCCGTGGACTCCGCCGCCTCCACGGATGAGCAGAAAAAGAAGGACGAGGACAAGAAGAAGAAGGAGGAGGAGGACAAGGACAAGAAGCCAGAGGTCGTTCCAGAGCCCGAGGTCGAAATTGAGCTGACCGAGGAACAGAAGAAGGAGTTGACGGAAAAGCTGGTTTGTGCCGTGCTGTACTGCGTTTTGGCTCCCTTCGACAACGAACAGAGCGACATGATGGGCCACCTCTCGAAGAACAAGAAGCTGGAGGAAGTGCCAGCCTACAAGTGAGTATCTTTTGACTCTTACACTCATCCAAAACTTAATTTTATCATTTATTTAACAGGGAAATTCTGCGCTTGTTCATGTCGAAGGAGCTGATCAACTTCGACACATTCAATGCTGACTTTGGGCTTGTGCTGGCCGAGAATGAGATGTTCAAGGATAGCACCAAGCACGGCAAGAAGTGCATCACCGAGCTCAAGGATCGTCTAATAGAGCATGTAGGCTTTTTGTCGCAGATTCCTCAGTCTTCCCATACTAATCGCTATTGTCCATCCACAGAATATTCGCATCATTGCCATGTACTACTCCCGCCTGCATTTGGCGCGCATGAGCGAGCTGCTGAACCTGCCCACCAGCCGCTGCGAGGAGTACCTGTCCAAGCTGGCCAACAGTGACACCATCCGCGTGAAGATCGATCGTCCCGCCGGCATCATTTACTTCACCCAGAAAAAGAGCGCCTCGGACATCCTGAACAACTGGGCCACCGACGTGAACCAACTGATGTCGCTGGTCAACAAGACCTGCCACCTGATCAACAAGGAGGAGTGCGTCTACTCGGTCATGTGCGCCGTCGAGGATTAGTTCTGTTCCATGCGGCTGCCTAGAATAGTGTTTTTCCCTTGAAGCGCCTGCTCATCCGCTGTATCCACTGTATCCGTACTAACCACCCAACCATCAACATTTCGATTATCTTCGCGAAGTTTGTATTCATTGAATGAACTACAATTAAAAGAAAACCCCTCTAAATGTCCATTGCAATAAGGTGCATTTCTTTTTTTGCCAGTCACCGGCACTTTCCGTGGGCATTTCGCAACACTCTTGGGGGTGTGCTTCTTCTTGTTCTTGGGAATCGGCATGGGCGTAGAATGAAAAGAGAGGGATCTTTGGAACTCAACAATTAATGTGAAATTGAGGATTAAATTATTTAATAAATTTCAATATATTTAAAATAAAATTAATCCTTTTATTTTGATTTATAATTTAGATATTTGAATTTATATATTTTATTTTCAAAAATATAAAAATTATATTAAAATTACAAAAAGGAACAAATTGTTGGGACATAGGGCTTATAAAAAAATTTCCTCCTCTCCAGGTAACTACCCCCACAAGCTTTTGACTCCGCCCCTGAGAGCGTGTGTTCTCGGTTATTGTACCATACCAAGCGCACAAATCGCGAAATCTTTAAATCGAGAATGCCAAAAGAAGACTGCAAGTACTGGGACAAGTGCTATCAGCGTAATCCCGCGCATTTGTCCAAATACAATCATCCAGAGAAGCCGGTCGAGAAAGAAGCGAAAGAAGACGACGCTGAAGACAGAAAAGTGGCGCCAAAAAGAGGTGCAACCTCGAAAGAGCAGGACAGCAACAAGGATAAGCCCAACACAAGCAGCTCCAGTGCAGACATGCTGGACGAGGAGGAGGCCAAGGGCAGTTATGAGTCAGAAACAGCGGAGCTTCACAAGGAGGCCATGGGCAACATAGCCGGGAAGAACTACATGGAGATCCTGGAGAAGCGCATTCGCCTGTCCGTGCAGAAGGAGTACGACAATCTCTGCGAGTCCAACGAGTTCATCAGGCACAAATTCCTTGTCGAAATGCCGCCTGACTTCTATGAGTTCTGGAAGTTTGTGTGCAGCCTGAAATCCGATCCTGCGAAGCCCAAGGATGCGGGCCTGGAGCACCTGGACAAGGTGTTCCAACTGCAGTTGGTGGGTCCCTTTGAGTTCCTGGCCGAACGATTCCACGGCGCCAAGCTGGGCGAACCGGGAGACTATCTACGCCATTGGCGCTTCTACTACGATCCACCAGAGTTCCAGACGATCTTCGTGCGTCGAGGCACAGGCATCCACTACGGCTACTGGCGAGATGTGCCCCAGGATAAGGAGAATCTCTTGATAGCCCGCACAGACTCTGCCAAGGGCTGTGAGTTCCAGTTTGTGGCTGGAAATGCCTTTGATGCATTCCTCTACTACCTGGAGCACGACTTCGTGGCCACCCCCTTCTCAGCCGGACAGCTGGCGGGAACCAAGAAGGCTGTGCCGAGGTACTTGAGCGACAACTCCCTGGAACTGGCCCAGCTGGAGCGACTGCAGCGGGAGCGCAACAAGCGGGTGGTGGCCAAGACATTCCATCGAGCCGGCATTGTTGTGCCCTTCGACCGGAAGACGCAGCTGGGCTACCGCCCACTGGCCGTCAGCGATTCCGAGCTCAAAAAGATGCTGGCCATGCTGGAGCAGAAGGACGTGGACAATGTGGCCGCCAAGCAGGCGGTGCTGGAGAAGCTGCAGCCGGTGGCCAATGCCGCCAATATAGCCGTGGACGAATCGGACTTCGGCAGCGCCCTGGAGCTGGGAATCGATATGTTCAGCAGTGGGCACAAGGAGCTGCACATGCTGGCCTCCTCGCTGCTGGTGCCCGCCTATTCAATGCTCTCCCGGCCGCAGTTCATCGCCATTGCCAAGGCGCACATGGAACAGCGTCGTCGAGAGGTGAACCTCAGCATGTTTGAAGTACTGAAGTAGTTTGTTTTTATTCCGCAACCGCAACATTTTTACAATCATTAAAACTAGGAAGAACACAGCCGAAAGTAGTTTCACATGTACAGATAGGAGTTCTCCTTGCGCGGTGGGACGTAGTTTTGGCTGCCGGTCTGCACGCCCACACTCTGGAGCAGCTTTATCACTGGCTGGGCAGCCGTTGCGTCCAGTGGCAGCTTGTCGGTGTAGATGACGAAGGAGTTCACGGGCAACTCCTCCTGGTCGCGCCAACTGGCAACTGCGAGTAGGTAAAAGAAAGTTGAATGTGTGATCGTTTCGCGGTCACCTGAACCACTCACCTCCCGCCGCCACTCCGGCAATGAAGTTGGGAGCCTCCAGTTCGGCGACATCCTTCTGGTTGACACCCACGCCACGCACAATGGCTATGTGATCCCTGTAAAGCTGTATGTCCTCGCTCTTAAACTCGACCTTTGGCTTCAGCGTCAGGGTGATGACTTTCTTGGCCAGCTTGGCGTAGGGCAGCAGGAGCTCCGTGACCTCGCCACTGCTGGTCAGGTCCTCCTCCAGGATGGCCAGCAGCTGTTTGGACGAAGGACTCCAGTGCAGGGACGAGGTGTTGGCGGGAATGCCGCACACGCGCTTCGAATCCTTGGCCAGCAGTGAGGTGCCGAAGTGGGTGACGCTGACGCCCTCGATGACCACCAGGAGCTCACTCTCCACAGGGGCCACCTCGCCAGCCGAATCGCCATCGAACTTGAGCTCCAGCCTGCAATTCTCGGAGATTAGCACTGGGCAAACAAGCCAAATTCACCCACTTCTCGACCGGCTTCAGGTTCTCCAGCTCATCCTCGTCGCAGTCGTCCCAGAAGGCGCGCGACGAAGGAATGTTCAGTTCCCCAAATCCTGGACAGCTCATGGTGTCTGGTTTAAGTTAATTTATGGGTGAAACTAATATGACGAGCTTAATTCCGGTCACTGTGTTTTGTTCAAGTCATCAGAGTGACCATGTGCTGAACAATCGATTATACCGTCCCTGTAGTGTTTAAGTGTATACCAAATGTCGGGAAATACCAGATCGGCAGACCAGCGCAGACCAGCGCTTCGGCCACGGTCATACTGAATACAAAAAATGCAAGACAAGATGCAGGCCCATATTCAAATTGGAAAACCACTTTGATCGCGAATTGGAAACTGATTAGGAGCCGCACGTGGCTGAAAAGAATAGGAACGGCAGTGTGCTAGGACTCGGCCAGCAGGAGCGGCAACGCGCGCGCGAAACCAGCGCCATGAGGAAGCGCAGCTCGCGCTGTAATTCGGACACTTTCAAGGAGGAGCAGATGGACCACAACGGTGACGACATCAGCCTGCTGCAGCGGCCCCTGCGCACCGCCCACACTGGATTCGAGGAGGCGCGTCGGGCCTACGAGGATGGCACCAGCGAGGTGAGTCCCGTCCGAGTGGAGTACGTGACTCAGCCCTGGCCCGCAATGGCGGCTGCTCCTTCGACCCAGTTTCGCATGTGCCCGAATAACTCCCCGCTTTTCCCGCAGGTGCGCCAGCTGCTCAGCCTGGAGTGCAGCCTGATCTACGAGTGCAAGGTGTGCCGGAACATGTTCCGCAGTCTGGCCAATTTCATCAGCCACAAGCGCGTCTTTTGCTGCGTCAGCGCTCGTTCCGCGAACGGCAGTGGATACACAGTGAGTGGGCAGTAAAGATAGCCCCATGTCGCGGTCCCCACGGCCATGGAATGCTAATTAATCGCTTGAACTCCCTTCACAGGATCAGAACTCCACGGTGATTATTCAAACGGGTGGCGGTCCGTCGCCACAGGACATGGAGCACATGCTGCGCAGCAGGAGCACGGGCTGCTCTCCAGTTCCCCGCGAAGTGCGTCCCATGCGGGGAGGCGGTGGTGGGATGCGGGACCTGAGTGGCGTCATCGAGCGGCTGCGCCGGGAAAAGGCTCCGTCGCAGGCCAGGCGCAGCTCCCCGACGGTTCTGCAGCTGGAGTCCGTGCCCACCTCCAGTCAGGCCGTTTACCAGACCATTAAGGTGGACCAGGAGGACAGCATTAGGACAGAGCTGGACGAGGTGCACCGCATGCTCAATCCCGCTGAAACCATAGTGGGACCCGACGGCAAGGCCCTGACCACCGTCAAGTTGGAGCGCCACGGAGGCAGCGACTCCGGCGAAACCGGCGAGCAGTCCATCAGCGACGAAACGGAGACGAGCATCTTCTGCGAGATCTGTACGGACTCACAACCGAATAGGCCTTGAAATCAATTAGTGACTGGTGTGCTTTCCATTCTCGTTCACAGGCAACCTGACTTTTCAAACCCACAAAACGCTTCAGCTGCACATTCAAAAGCATCACTCATCGTCGGCGTTCGTCTTTCAGTGCCCCGCCTGCTCGCTGACCTTTCTCCAGGCCGCTGCAGTTATTCGTCATTTATCCAAGGATCACAAGTGAGTAGGGCTAGTAAAGAAGGCAGTTAATCCTTTAATTTACATTTTTCTATAGGACTAATTGTGACATTAAATTTAAAACATTTTTATTTCTTCAAAGTCTCTGGTAACCCGTTAAAATTTAAAATCATTGCTAGCCAACATAAAGTCAGCACTTCTATTTAGTTACTGATTATGTCTAATAATTAAAATATTGCATATTCGGTTAAGTTGTTTAAACAAGCACATTTTATTGAAACAGCCTTATTTTATTCATACTTACCCCAACATTTGCAACTGAAAATTAAAGTTTGCCTTCTCGAAAACACTTTTTCAGGAAACCTACTCGTCGCATTAGAATGATGCGAAACACTATCCTCAAGCGCCGCGTACAGCAAGGGGACATTCAGCCCAAGGGTCCTTGCCGGGAGCTTAAGCGCCTGCAGCTCTCCGACGACGTGGTGGGCTATGTCCCGGAGCCACTGGACGCCAGCGGTGAGCATCGGAAGATCATGTCCTTGTGTATCTACTGCGAAAAGTCCTTCGAACGTCGCGCTGCTCTGTCAACCCACCTGCTTAACTGTCGGGCCAAGCAAGAGGCGCTGGCCAAGCCGGCTCCTTCCGTCAAGAAACTTAAGGCAAAGAGCAACGAGTCCAGTCTGGATGCAGCCGACGATGACGCTACTGCGTCCATAGATCTGCCGAAAAATGAACCGATCAAAAGAGAGGAAATTACCCTAAACGAGATGTTTGCCGATCTACCGGAGCCGAACGATTTATTTGCCCCTGGCCTGCACACAGTGTCGTTGGACCAGCTCAATTTGGGCAACGAAAGCGACTCTGCCAGCGATGAGGCCTCTAACACCGAGGAGGAGCACGATCTGGCACCAGGGGCTGGTCCTGAATCCAATGCCGATCAGGAAGATGTCAAGGGCAAGGCAAAGAAGAAGCGCAACGTTCCAGCGGAGAAGCAGCTGCGTTGCCGCTGCAAGATCTGCCATAAGCAGTTCAATGCCCTCGGAAATCTGCGTCGTCACATATCCATGTTCCATTATCGCGCACGCCGCTTTGGCTGCAATCTGTGTGAATATCGCGCATTTCGGCGCTACGACATTGTTAATCATCTGGGATTCACCCACAAGATAGAAGGCGACCGAGACAAGCTGACGGAGCAGTATGTGTCCACCCACGAGTGCGAGTACTCGCGCGATGATGTGGACGCCGATATCATTTTGCTGGATCAAGAGGAGGAGCTGACAGCGACGGAAAAGGAGGCCAAGCCCCCTATTAAAACCTACGAAAGGCGCTTGAAGCGTGTAAAAACCATAACAGAATCTGCGGGAGACGTGCGGCCCATATCGCCAACTGCCGTGATAAAGGAAGAACCAGGCCAAGAGTCGATAGAATCCACTCCAACGCCAACGCCCAGCAAGAAACGTCGCAAGTCACGCACGCAAATCTCACCCGAGTCCGGTGAGCATTCCCACGAGAAGCGTCCCATCCGCAAGCGGGTTAAGGCGGTCAACAAGGACTTTGTCTACGATTTGGTCAGTTTCAAACCAGACGGATCAGGCCAGCAAGCACCAGTTGCACAGGCAGTGGACTCCATGAGGGCCAAGCTACGTCGCTCTGCGACGGGGAGCAATGAAGAAGGCAGACATAAGCAGTGGGAGGCCTACATTACGGAGGCCAAGAAGCCCCAGGTGTTGGGCATCACACGTCGCATCATGCTGGAACTTGTGAGCCAGGGCTTGGCGGTATCCGCTACCTTGCCGGAATTGCCCTCGGAGAGGCCGATGATTCGACCACGCCTTACCTCGCACACACGTAGCGAGGGCGGTTCGCAGCAGCAGCAGAATGTTGTCGAAACTGCAGCGAATACTGCTCCGGAAACCGAGAGTTTCCTCGAGAAGATAGCGAAGCGGACGGCAGCCGCTGGCAAGGATACCGCTGTCATCAGCAACCTGTGGAACAAGGTCAACACTGCGATTGCCCAGCAGCAGCAGCTGAAACAGGAGCAGGAGCAGGAGCCGCTGGAAGAAGGCCAGCCAGAGGAAAAACCCAAAACGGAGAAATCAAAAAGCCCCCTGCCCACGCAACTCTCGCCGCACAGCTTGTGCCACGTCCCCGGGCCCGAAACTCTGGCAACCACTGGTATGGAATGCCTGGGCGGCAAGGGCAGTCAAGCGGGAGCACCGACAATGTTTCCGGCACTGCCCAAGCCGCCATCCGTTCTGCAGGCAGCTGCCAATGGGACCATCCAGCTCACACTGGACAGTCTCCTGCGAGCCGCGCTGCAGAACTAAACGGAACCGGAAATGGCAGCCACCACTACCGTGGCTACTTTTACAACTGTTGTTGTCGGTCCCATTGGATTTTTCCGAAAATGTTCGGCTGGTCGCTTTCCCATCAACCGTTTGAATGTAATTCACTAGTGTCCTTATTGTAAAACCAACTAAATAAGAAACCCAGAAGAATCAAACCAAGAATCCCTAGATGATAAACACGCTTCGAGTATTACGCGGTAAAAACAACCAAAACGAATTCAAAATCGTAGGATAATTTTCGGCTATTAGCAAATGTTTGTTGTTTGTGTGAATTGAAAAAGTACAGATTTTTTAAAATGTTATAGTTAATACTGTAAATGTACCTAATTTTATAGCCGGACATAAAATAAGTCACACACGTGTACACGGTTGCTGTACAGGCGTGCAGCAGATTGCCTTGCCAGGACTTAAACTAGATTGAATATTTAATCAAAATCGAGCCAATCTTCTTGGAATACTTTAACAAAGTATTGGGGTGGACCGATTCAATCAAATGAAATGTTTAAACAAAGTGTAATTTGTCTTACCTTAAGTAGTAGGCCTACAATTATTATTATTAAACTTATACTTATCATGCAAAATATGTTAGCTCATTAAACTCTTTCCGTTGGTAATACATAACTCATATGTAATTCACACTTTCAGTTTGACTTTTTGTTGCCGAAGGAAAACAACCGAAAGCCGCTTCAAAGAACCAAAGAATTACTCCTTGTCGACCAAGTCGGCACACCCTAATATATATTAAGAAGATGGAGAGGCCTTGGATATTAAGTTGGTTGACGCTTCATCTTGCCATCTATCATTTGAATCCATCGCCCCACCATCACCTAATTAGCATTATTATATTCAGGAACATCACAGCTGAGGAACCGAGAACACAACGACTTCTGCATGATGCTGCATAAATTTGTTACTCAAAATGTTAATTGCAAACTAAGCGAAAGTCAGGCGCAAGTTGTACAAGGCAGTCTGTTGTACATACACAACCCAGATACACGATTATATATATTTTATACATACGCAACGTTGACTCGGCAAGTATTTTGCCAGACGCAACAGACACAAGGAGGAGGAAATCACTAGCAGACATTCAAAGAAGTCCTGATCTACGCGAGTAGTTCAATGTATTTATATATCATTGTAATGTACAAGGTAGAGCCTTAAATCAAATCACCAAATGATAATAAATCCTACGATAATCACCCACAAAAATGGTCGAAATGCGAATTGATATCGGCAAGGCCAACAAGTGTCCAATTTCCGTCGACCAGCACCTGTTCGCCCTGTTCTTGGGGCCAGGACAAGTGTTTGGGAGCCCCAGCTGGATGGAGTATCCATGAAATAGAGCAGGTCACCAGGCAGCTATGTACTCTGTACCCGTGGACGCTGTTGCTTGCTCTGGCTGCCGTTACTGCCGATGCCCGACAATGGAAATTGTGTCACGGTCAGGAGTATGGGCGTGGACATGGGGATTTGGGCAAGGACTAGGGTAGGGTTGGGTTTGGACTTGGTCCTGGGATGGTGGAAAAGCGAAAGCGGGACACACTTTAAAGCTAAGCGTGTGCGTATCTGTGTCCGTGTTTGGAAAATAGAGAGAGACATGGAGCGTGAGAGAGCGAGCTGGCGAAGCGCGACTGTGTGTAATTGGAAACCGAAAGTGAAAACGCCCAGGCCTTGAAATCCTCGACAGGGGCCGCACAGATATGAACTCGAAGTTTATTTACCAGGGGGTGACAGCCCCTCTGACTGTGGCTTAAATTTCTTATTTATTTTTTACAAAGCTGAAATACAGCCAATATAATATGGCAAAGGTTTTCATCGGATCAAATATATGTGTTTTTCTCTACAGAAGTATTTAGTAAAAGTTTTAGTAGAAAGTCAAAACAAGGGAGATAGCAAGGGACCGATTTCGACCCTATACGTATATATACTATATATACCAATATCTAAATGGTGACTAACCATCTTACGAAGCAGAAATATTAACTTTTAGTAGCTCAGCTATTGCATTCTTTTATGTTTTCATTTTAAAATATTGTACAATGCTTTACTTTAAAATGATATGTATTTTGATCGTAGGAAAATATTTTTTAAATACAATTTTTTGTTTGATATTAACTTTTGATAAGTTTCTATGATATAAGGAAACTTCTTTTGAGGGACGGAAAGAAAACAGTTAATCAGGCAATAAAAACTGTGAACAAAATTTCCAAGTTCCTAGTTGGTTAGGGTAGCAGATCCAAGCAAAATGAAAACCCTGTCTAAGAAACTAGATTACCAAACATTAAATTCCCTTAATGCAGCGGGTGAGAGAAAGAGTAGACATCAAGCAGCATTAAATGAATGGCACTTACAAAGGCATTACGTTCGAATAGAGCTCCAAGCGCCTAGGCAAAAGAAACGCCAATGCAAAATACCAATACCATACCCCAATATCAAGCCCACTTTGCTTGGGCAAATTTGTGCTGCATAAACTGATTAAGCGATTTCAGGTATAGGTTCAGGAGGGTTGGGGGTTTGGGTGTTAGGGACTGGGACTGGGGCTCCAGTAGGCATGCAAAGCATCCACATCGAACGCAGAACTGGGAACGCCAACAAAGCGCTGGGAACAACCAGCTGACATTGAAGGGCGAGAAAGACGTGTACCATACAATACCATACCGAATATATAATATGCGAACAGAGCAACTGCTGGCAGGTGCGAGTCTCCTGTAATGAGATCTATTTTCCACGAATGGAAGTGCTGGGTCATAAAGGGCCCCCACAATCCGGGAGCCACTGCAGCTGCAAAGGAAACCAGGACAGCAAAATAGAAGTGGAGACTCTGAGATTGCTTTTAAGGAGCTTATGCCTTATGGCCCATAAATGCGGTAACACAGTTGCCGTTTATTGGGCAGCGGAGAATGATTTTCGCAGGAACGACTTACAGTTGATGGGTCTGCTGCTCGACAAGCACATGAGTAGTGATACGACAATTTAATTAACCAATTATTTGACATTTCGGTTGGCCTTGAGTGCACAGAAGATAACATTCAAGACAATAGTCCATGGTCACTGCGATATAGTAAATGGTTCTTCATTCCAAGACGTTTTTCATACCGTCTAGGTGACTCCACTTATGCTTTCCAAAAAACGCTGTACCTACAATTTTACTTTAATACACAAAAGTCATGTAAATCTTCTTAGCTACCCAAAATGTTGAACTATCGCATGCATCACTCATACGCCATGTGGTTCCAGCCACTTTGGATCCCCGTTGGGCGCTACTTAAAATCAAATTAAGATAATTAAATCGCCGTCGTGCAGCCTGAATATATTTCAATTTGGGTCACACAGTTACTTGGATGGGAAGCCGTTCGGAGCTTTCCCGCCTCCGCTGGCACTGGCACCCGAGGGATTGGGTGGGGACTTTTCCGACTTTCCAACCTCCCGACCCCACTCCCGCCACGATTTCTTTTTTAGCGCGGCGGCAGCTGCGTCCTGTAAAATTTTTGGGGCTCAGCAAGTGTTTCAACTGTACTAAGTACTGTTTATTTACTTGCCGCCCATTTGAATAGTGGCGGAGCGCATTATTACCGATTATCGCCGCGCGGAGCAGATGCTGCCGCCCCATTCGGAGTCGCAGTGGGTTGCCAAATAAACATGGGACGGTGGGTGGTGGTATGAAGTGACTGGGTAACCTACTAAAGCGAGAGAGAGGACAAAAAAAGTATGAAAAAAGCTCGGGAGAAAGTTGGGAAGATGAGTGAAAGCAGCCGCGCTGCCTGTCATCTGTTGGCGTTGGCGGGTTCGCTGGTGTTGTTGCCGTAGGACGTTGAAGGACACCACCAGGAGCAGCATCACCGCCTGCGTCTGGCGCTCGAGTGTTGTCCTAGTCCTAGCCGAAAGCTCTCGGCGGGAGTAGCTCGTGTGGGCTCGGCTCTCGATGCTCCAGTCTCGGGTTCCAAGCTTCGGTGGCTCGACAGGGCTCGCCAGTCGAGTTTCGGCCGTCTAACCCAGCAGAGGTGTGCAGCGGAGAGCAGTCCAACCACCGCAACATACAGCACCATTAGCAGCAGCAGACTAATAATTGCGGCCACAAAAGAAGAGAAGCCCTGCCCTGCCCTTTGACCCACTGTATCCATCGCTCAATTGCATCTGGATCTGATTAACTGCCATCGCAATGTCATGTCGCACTGACAACTGACAACTGACCACTGACCACTGGCCCAGGAGCAACTGATTGACTGGCCTCCTTGCTCACTACACTTCCATGTCCGTTGTCCACTTGGACGACTTGGATTCCCGGATTCGCGGATGTGGGGGAGCAGCATCCCAAGCGACAGAGCAGCGCGAAAGTAGTCAACGAAAATCGGAAATCTAATTAGCGACGTCAGTGTCAGGATCGCAAATCCATTAATTTCCAGGCATCGTATCAAGAACTTTTCGGCAAAAAGGCGTTGCTACAGCCCTAGAAAAAAATAAGCAGGAAAATCGGGAAAATTTAACGCAGAAAAAAGGGAAAACTGTGAGCGTCGGTGTGTTTGTGTGCCGCTGTGCGTGATTTCGTGTGTGTGTGTGCGAGTGCCTGATAACGCGAGCCTGGCGCTGACATCACTTTCACTTGGAAAACCAACTCGAGGAACCAACCTGGCCCCCGGGAAGCTGCCACTCGAGCCGCACGGCAACAAAATCAATTAAACTACCAATACGACAGCCGCCGCAACAGCAACAACAAAGCTGCCAAGAGCCAATTATCGAGGAAAGTAGCGGAAAAGCAGGGAAAAGGCCGAGGGAAAGCGAAGGAAAAGCCCAGCCCAGCCCAGCCAAGATGTTCTCCATGTGCACCAAGGTGAAATCGCGGAGTGCGGATGCGGATAGCTCGTTCATGCAGCAATCGCAGTCGCAGCAGATGCAGCAGTTGCAGCTGCAACAGCCCCAGGCGATGGGTGAGTGGGAAAACCCGGGAAACGAGCGGGGGAAAAAGTGAAACCGAAACTGAGACTGAGACCCAAACTGAAACTGAAACTGAAACTGAAACTGCGCCCCCGAAAGGCTGTCGGTGTGCCCTCATTTGGCGGAAAACCCTTGAACTCGTTTTTGCTGCCCCACCCCAAGTGCCCCGCCCCTTTTGGGTCCTCCCCGCCCCTCCCAGCTGCTTATTTTTCTCAATGAATTCGCACACAGGCGCAGCTGCGCGTCTGTCTGCTACTTTCTCTTTCACATCCTTTCAGCCCCTCGCTTTCACATCCTGGCCCACACCAGCGTTTAACTTATCAAGCGGAATCCAGGATGCGGTTTCATTATGCTGCAATTGTTGACAGTGCCACGCCCATTGCCCAGCACATGTGTGTGGGTGTTGTGTGTGCTCTGCATTAAATCATTAAGTAGATACAACACAGCCCCACATCGCGCTAAGCATGGCGTGGGGCATCTGAGTATTTGCCTGGGACCAGCTGGAAATGAGTCGAGGCCCAGAATGGCAGGATGTGGACTGGCTTCGGGTTACAGCTGCTGCTGCAGTTCGCCCCATGCATAAGTCATGTGCTTGCACTCGGAGGAATATTTGAGAAGAAATAACAAGGAAATAAAGTCTAGCAAAACTATTCTGCTATAATTCCCAACTGATTCTGGTTATGTTTACCGCTTACAATGTGAACCATATTATTTGTGTGAATTTCATTGGTAAAAAAAAAGGAGATTAGAAAAACCTTTTGATCGAAGGCAACATTGCGTATGGGATATATACTTTAAAGCCAATTCGCAGACTCTAAAACACAATTTTTTCAAAAATTTCCTTTTGGTATACGTTGAATACCACAATGGGCACCGTATAGACGAGTATGAGTAGGACCTTAAAAATGTCCATACAAAAGTGAACCACCCCAGATGCAATTTGATTTTGGTTTATGTTTCATGTTTAAATTCAATCGAAACAGGATCGTTATTTGGAAATAAAAACTATTTTACAGAAGATTTTTACTTTTCATTGTGAAAATCTGCAAAAACAATAATATAATCGGTATATGTTATATGGTTGTTGAAAGATAATGTCTCTAACGCAGTCCGATTTTCGGTATATTTTCCTAGTGCGTGTACCTCATTTTTGTATATCATAGCCCTTTATCCACTCTCATATCTAGCCAGGCCAGCAATTATGTCTGTACACGTTTGTCGTTGTCGTTGTCTTCGCCTTCCGATTCGTTTTTGCCCCAGTGCGAACAGGGGACGAGAATGGGAAGGGTTCGTCGTCTGTGGCATCCACTTGCAATTCTAGCTGATTTGTCATGTGGATGTGAGTGTAGGGAGGCGGGGATGGGGATGCAAGTGCGGATGTGTGTGCGCGTGGGCATGGTTGCATGTGGCTGTGTGCGTGCACTGAAGTGGCACACATGATGTCCGCTGCCCTGCCTTCTTACACAAGCGAGGCAGTGTCCTTCGGCGAGCTCGCTCTCTCATCAACCCCCGATGCAACATATGTACATATATGCTGCCCCTATTCCCCAGTCTCCCGCCCCCTATCCCCCAGTCACCAGTTCCAGCGCCATTCCCGAGCTCATCCTTTCATCATCTCCGTCGACACTTGTACTGCTTCTATCGTTGTCGTCTGCATTTCGTTTGCTTCTGGGTACACTCAAAACCATTTTGTCTGTATTAAAAAGGAATGGAATAAAGTTGAGAAAATAATTGCATTTAGATTTCTCCAAAACTTATTATAAATACATTATTTTTTATGAACACTAATGATCTTTGAAGTGGTGTGCAATATTTTTATCTGATACCTCTTTCTTTTATAAATAAACAAATTATTATCTACAATGATTACTTGTGAGTTGGATAAGTATAACTTATTATATACGGCCTCTGGTTTTAATAGTTTGTCAGATGGTTAAAAAACTTGGAAAATAAGAAAGCTGTTATGTTTTTCCCTTTGTGTACAAAAATTACATAGGTCGCAGAAAAATCTCAGTAGACCCAGACCGTTTTGAGGGCAAACGTCGTTTTTTAGCCCGCCTTGCCTCGAGCGTTTTTCATATGCTGTGCAAGCTCATCGCATCCCATTCTCAGCCGGAGCAAATTGTCACCAGCCACTCTGGCCGTAATCAGTTTGCTGCAGAGGCAACTTTCTCGAGTGGTCTAGTGCGGAAAAAAGCCAGAGTGGTTCTTCAATTCCGAAATTACAATTGTTCTAGGACACTATTAATCGCTTATCAGTTTCTTGGAAAAAATAATCCGGAAGACCTAATGCAATAGTAAGAACTAAAGCTTAACGTCTATATAAATTTCATTTTCCTTTTCGGGTAAAGAAATTAATTTTGTTGAAATTTCAAAACAAAAAAGTTTTTAAAGTAATTTTTAAAAAATACAAATAATTGTTAGTCCAATTGCTTAGGGGTTTAAGGTTTTAAATAAGTAATATTTATGATTGGATTCTTAGTATTAATGTTTCTATTCTGAGTTAATTGTAACTGATAGCCTAAGCGGATTAAGCTAATGGTAAAAATTCACTCACCGATAGCTTTAATTTTTTGGGGAAATAATTTCAAATTTTACGAAAATGTATGGTTATAGAATTCTAAGTAGGGGAGAGTGGGGGAATTTCGTCAGCATTTTTTCAAAGCTATTTATTGTCCATCTTAAGACACGTTATCATATTTCTATTTTTATTGTTGAATGCGGTTAGCACTAAGCTTTAAAATGTGACATTCCCCTATTTTTTTAATTAACTTGGTGATTTATAAAAAATTAAAAAGTAAAACCAATATACTGGGGCAATCTCACCACATAGGGGGGTAAAATCACCACACAACTGGGGAAATTTCGTCACCTGAAAAATGTAGGGAACTTTACGCCTGTAAGTATGTTACACTGATCGAGCGTACCATTTTTGTTGACGTCTTATATTTGTTGCTGCTGCCGGTAGTCTGTTCGTTTGCCAGCTCGTCAAATATAAAAATATGTATTTAAAATAGGTGCGAATTTACCCTTAGCGTAGGGTGGCGAAATTTCCCCAGACAGTACTTTTTTAGAAATAATTATTTTTCTTCCGAAATTAGGCGCGAAGTTAAAAATCACTGACGCAGAAATGCACATTATAGCACTGTGTATTATATAAAAAATCGTGTATCTTATTCCTTTTGAATTGTGGCATACAGAAAAAATTTCGTCGAGAACTAAATGTAGCTTTTGAACTGTTAAAACACATTTAATATTATAGCTTAATTATCTTGGCCTTCTGTGCAAAACAAATGCATTGGTTGTGTCTGGCCGTCTTGAAGGACTAAAACAAAAAAATTATATATTTTTACGACTTATGGATTCCGAGATATTGCAGGTGACGAAATTGCCCCTGTGACGAAATTCCCCCACTCTCCCCTACATTATCCATTTGCCATTAGGAAAAATAAGTTGTAGGCATTGCGTAATGGCTTTAAAATTTATTACTCATACGTAGTGTTGTTCTTTACTTAATTGATACCATTTCTTAACATAATTTAAGAAATAAATTAAATTTATCTAAACAAGTAAATAAGTACATGAAGTGTTTATCAAATTAATAAGTGTATACATTCAATAACTAAATTAAAGAAATAACTTGTTATTTGCCCCAATGCAAAATTCATATTAAAATATAATACGTTCTAGTGAAGTGGGCACTGACGGCAAAGGTGTGAAATGGCTTCGGATCAAGTATACGTACGTATGCCCGTTGCCCTGGTCATCTTTATTGAAATAATTAATTCAGTCCACCGCAAGCGTCGTGTTTGCCACTGGCCCAAATCCTGCTGCATGCCCCATCCCTTTCGACTCTCGACACTTGACCAAATAAATGGGATGCCAGTGGTAATGAATTTGAAATGAGAGACCAGGCCACCAGGGCAACTGCAGCAGCAGCAGTGGCGGCTGGTGATTGAGTTGCTGCCGCTGCAATTCCGAGGGAATTGCTAAATGAAATTCCGTGTTTCGTTTTCGCTATTCGTTATCCGGCGCCACCAGTCGCCTCGCACCTGGATTCGCTACATTTGAAATTTGCAGATCCAGTTTCGGTGCGTGGGCGCTAGGTTCTCAGCTGGCGGATGTCGGACGTCGGACGAAAAGGGAAGAAGTCCTTGAATGGGAAATGGGCTTCAGCTGCAGCGCCCGATTCCTGTTCAATTAGTGGTATCGTATAACTGGACTATGGGTACTCTGGCACTGGGCAGCGGATGCGGACTAAATGAGATTCGCCAGCAGACTTTTCCCCACTTGGCACTCACTCCATAATTCGTTTTCTTCACTTTTCACAGGAACCGGTGGGAAACAAATCAAGGGCGGCTATCTACTGCGCTACAAAAGTGAGTATCCATTTTAGTCCCAAGCCTTGAATTTCTTTTAGTAAAAATTTAAGATCTACAAGTTTTATATAAAATACCAAATTATAGATTTTAAACTCAACTGTATTTTTGGTGCAGGTCATATGGGTATTAGATTATGTTAATGCAGACGTATATCTGCATACTTAGCTTTCATTGAAAGGGGGGGTTTTCATAGCATAAACAAAGTATGTGTTGCAACTTTACGGATTTGAATTTAAGGTTTTATAAAATCTACTTTTGTTGTACATCTTCTTTTTCCTACATATTTTGAATTTATACAAAATGTTTTTCGAATATTAATTTGACCAAGAAGTAAACCGCGATTTAGTAAAACTAGTAATTTAGGACTAGCTGCTAGGCAATTGCAGGTCGTTGAAATGAAGGTCCGAATCAGACCCTTTCCTGTGGCTGTCAGCATGGTAGGCCGATCCGCCCAGGGACGAGTAGAGCCCCTTAGAAGAGTCGGCAATCTGTCAAATCAGCACAACAGTAACAGTCCTCCCAACTCAGGCACAACAGGATGACGCAGCATCCATGGATGAGGTAGATGGATGAGGACTGCGGTTCTTCGAACGCGGGAATGGGGTATAATCATTTCGGGGTCACATTCAAGTGTAATTACTCATGATTTGGCTGTGCTGTAGATGCGTCATTGTCATGCTTGCTGGGCCGGATTGAAAATCATGGCCTGAACAATTTGTGTTGAGTCCTTGGTGCAAATTAGTAGAGAGAAATATAAGAAGCGATAAATGAAATTAAAATTGGCCAGCACAACTTTGTAATCCTCTAATAGATATAAAAACAAGAGAGAACGCTATAGTCGAGTGCCTCGACTATTAGATACCCGTTACTCAGCTAAACAACTTAATAGAAATATGCCTTCTTATATGTTTTTCGCCGCTCGATTTTTACCCAGGGATCTCTTTCTAGAAGAGGCTTTCTAGAACTTTCAATTCTGCCTAGCACTTCTTCCGTCTCTCTCTAGCGCAGGTGAATGCACTTGTGAAAAACGTATACGAGCAAAAAGAGACAAAATGCGCGCCCCATTTCAAATAATTTAAAATTTGCATTAACATATTGTGAATTAGAGTGACCACAGAAAAAAGGCAGATTTTTTTAAGGCTAGGTTTAAGCGTTTATTGGGTTTGTGGGCGTTAGAGTGGGCGTGGCAAATTTTTACTTGGCCAATCGATAGGTATTGACGAAGCGAATACATATCAGTTACTATTTTCATAATAGCTTCAAAACTGTGGGCGTTAGAGGGGCCTTGTGGGCGTTAGAGGGGGCGTGGCACCCTTTTGAAACAAACTTGCGCTGCGTAGGAGCTCCTAGAATCTGCATGCAAAATGCCAATCTTCTAGCTTTTATAGTTTCCGAGATCTCAGCGTTCATACGGACAGACAGACAGACAGACGGACAGACAGACGGACAGACGGACAGACGGACATGGCTAGATCGACTCGGCTAGTGATCCTGATCAAGAATATATATACTTTATGGGGTCGGAAACGCTTCCTTCTAGCTGTTACATACTTTTGCACGAATACAATATACCCTTTTACTCTACGAGTAACGGGTATAAATATACATAGGTCAAAATACCGTCTAAACGATTTAAGAGATAAAAACCTAAAAACGGCCAAAATTACATTATTTAATATTCATTTTACCAGTATTGCATGGTAATACGGTTAAATACCGTAAATTTACCATGCACAATGCGCATATCGATTTGATCCGGTCGTGTTTTATTTTTGAGTGCAATATGTGTAATATATTAAAGGCTAGTCGTAGGTTAAGTTCTCCACACTGATTCCATGACTTCCGTTCCGTTTTCCTTCACAGAGCAAATGTTCTGGAACCGCTGGGCGGAGGAATGGGTAGTGCTGTACGACGATTCGACCATGGCCTGGTTCACGGAGCCAGGGCGCTCCTCGCCGACGGGCAAGATCCTGGTGAAGGAGGCGCCCGAGATGCTGGCCATCGCCCACTGGACCGGCCAGATTCCACGACGTCCGCCGCTGCCGGCTGGAGTGAATGTGTCCCAGCTGATTGCCCTCGGGTCGCAGCGCAAGCGGTCCAAGGTCTACTGGATGCTGGCCAAGTCGGAGCAGGAGGTGAGCGACTGGATCGATGCGATTACCAAGACCCTTCCACCGCCGCCGCAAATCGAGCTGGTGGTGGACAAGCCGCACCTGATGAACGTGCTCCGACGTCCGTTGGTGCGCATTAGACGTGAGTAAATCCCCCTAAGTCCCTCATTTTAATCCATCCGCCTACTCGTTTTGCTTAAATCCCCTTTTGCCAGATGGTGTCGTTCACATCCGTAAAGTATTGCCCTCTACCTAAGACAGAGTAGCACCAAAAATATTGTCAAGAGATTTTTTATTTTTATCCTTTACACATTTTCAGCTCTCTTGCACTCCATTTAAATCAATTAACGAAAATTTATACGCAAGGTATTAACATAAATTGATAAATAAAGAACACCTAAACACTAATTTTTCATCAGCCTTCAATTTTACCCATAAAGTAATAATTATTTATAATTATAATTACTAAACAGGATTTATTATTTCTAACTAATCTTGTGAATTTTGGTTTTATTTTAATTTTTAAATGCAGCTGCCACCCAGTCGGAGGTGAAGCAGCGCAAGGCGGCGTCCCACGGAGCCAGCGGCAGTAAGCACCACCGGTGCTCCTCGGCGATGACCACGAAGGTGTACAGGCAGACCCAGGATCCGCTGGTGAAGAGCGACGCGGCGGTGGCCATTCTCAGCAAGAAGCCGGACTCGAAGGCCTCGCTGGCCTGCGCCCTGCCATGGGGCCACGGCTGGGGATGGGCCACGCTGCCCAACGGGGTGTGGAGCGGCGGACTCACCTGGTCGCAGTGCGAGGACACCTTCACCCTGCACGCCCTGCCCACCACCCACTGCACCAACCTGATCGACACCTCCTGCAGCGGGGCAGTGTATCACACGGACATCGGTGGCTTCGACTTTCACTCCTCGGGCGTGGACGACATCGGGGGCGAGGACTTCGACTATGCCATGGACTGTGGCGATTTCATATTCTAAACTCCCTCCACCACGACATTCAGCCAGCGCCAGCCACCCACCCGACGGGCAGGACACTTTCGTCCTTGCCCCGCAGATTTTGCCTTCGATTGGAGGGAGCTAAGCAACTGGTAGTCGCTTGGGTAGTACTTAATATTTAACCGTGCTTTCGTTAACCTCTGAGTGTTAGGTGTTGCCAAGTGGAAGGAGAACTGACTCCCTAGAGTTGCGTATACGCCCCTTTGTCCTTGTCCCTGTGCGATTAACTATCCCGCCCATTAGCGCGTTTAACTCTGTGCTTTGCTCTAATTGCGTGGAGCAGTTAAACTGCAAGTACACATACTATTCGACCTTTTCCATTTCCCCTTAGTGTGGTAAAAAATATATATGTGCATTTATAGCTGCTGCCAAAGAAGTAGTTGTAACATCTTGTAACTTCGTCTGATGTCAGTTCAGAAATGGATTAACTTTTTAACAAGCTTGCTCTCAATAAAGTTGTCAATCAACTTTTACCTTGCGCTTGCGAATACATTTCTGAAGGGAATTTCGGAAATCTAAAGTCAAAATTCCAGTTAACCAAGTTTAGTTTACGGATGATATTTGAGTTCCGTTAAATTCGAGAGAAATGTCTTAGAATTTTTTAATCAGTTTTTATTGGGATTTGTTCTTTTCGGAATTACCAACAAATTTTAGTCACTTAACAATTATACCGATGCAAAATTAGTTCAAAAGGGTATTTTAAAGCTGGAAAATATATGCCACAATTATTATGGATGCGGCTGTAGCTGCTTTTCGAGTTCTGTCCGATACACGTGTGCTCATGTATCCAGCAATATATGTACATATATGTAAGGCCGCACACTCGCCAACCTCCAACCCGCAATCACCACCCCCTAACTACAGCACCCCACAACGAGCCACCTTCTTCCCCTCCCAACCGCATTCAGCCATTGCAGTCGCAGTTGCAACCACAAGCATTTGAAATGCGAAAATATTTTTGCATCGCGCATATAAGTAGGCTACAACATATTTTTGCACTCGACAAGCGAACAAATTACAATAAATAATGCGGAGAAGACGAAGCGACAACTAAATTAAAAACGATAAAAACAACCGCAAGAGATTAAAATACTTTTGTGTATTTTGAGACTTTTGAAATTTATATTGATGCAATTTGTAATGGAAACACTTTTCAAATTGTTTTGCCATGATTTTCTAGAATTTTTGGAATCGATAGTATTTAACCGCAAAACCGAAGCCCGAAAAAGCCCCTAGCCCCCAAACCCTCGCAAAAACCCATTTTTGTGTGCAAATTTTTGAAACATTTATACAGATACAGCGCGCGTAACTTAAGTCAGTGGTAAAATCGATAAATGTTTAATATAATTGTGTAAAGGCAAAAACAAACACAAAAACGACAAGCGGAAAATCCAACGCAGAATTTTAAAGTGGAGCATAGCCATTTTTATAAAGCATGTTAAAAAGAAATGACAGTAAACAGGAAAACCAGGTACATAACAAGTAATTAAAGAGGTAAAATCGAACTCTAGTCGTAAAAACTCATACTCCCGCAACACACCCACACATAGCCACACCGAACACTATAGTGTAAGTGTATGTGTTAGCACTTAAGGCATGGCATCCGAATGTCAGTTTAGTTTTCGAAACTAACTCACACAGATCGACATACCCACCCGTACTGATGTAAAGTTTATAAAACGAAATCAAGCGAAACAGAAAAACAAGTTAGCAACCCAGGAAAATCACAGAGTATAAAGCCAAAGACGTGTATACACATGTACAAGTAATTAACTAGCAGTTAAGAACACATTCGAAATCACAGACCTTTGAAGTCGCAGCCGAAAGAAAGGTATTCGCACCATTCAGCTCACCAATCAGCAGTCATCCCACATCGATTCGATTTTGAATTTGATTTTGAGGAACTTTCGACACAAAATGTGAGGAAGGGAAACGCCGCTACGGACACCTTGAGAAAACTGTAATTGTAACTACGTTTAGGCATACCTAAATAGAAACTAGAATAAGTCGGAGTGCCCGTTAAGGGTTATATATGTATGATAAATGTACCGTAAGATTGTGCAGGTTTTCAAAATGTTGCATGCCGCAAAAAAGCATAGAGCTAGAGTATAGAAACGCGAAATATTATGTAAATTACGGGTAACAGGACTCACCGAGTCCCTACGCATCTGTTGCATGTCCTTGTGCGCGCGTGTATACTTATATATTACTATATTTATGTACAACAATAACCAAGAGCAAAGCTTCACGAATCGGAAACGAAACTAGAAACCTAAAACCTTAAACCTGAGCCTACAGCCTTAGCTATCATACCCGTCACCACGCTCACCATTCGCTTCTAGCCCCTTGTAGTATCTACGTACGTACGTGTATGTGCATGTATACAATATACCTATATAGCTATAGTCGGGAGACGCGAGTAGGGCATCGGGAAATATAGAGATACACATAGAACCCGCCACGTAACGTAAATGAAATGTAGACTAAAAGACTTAAGCAATTGTCGTTTAGACGTTAAATTAGAGCGCATTGAATGTTGGCTTATAGTTCTAGATAAAGCAGCGATTCAGAGCGAGGTGCGGAGCGTTTAGAAACATATTAAAGGATATCCTCACCACAATGTTTTAGTCTGAAGCCTAGCCCGAATTAATCGAAATTTGTTAGCGAGCGAGTGATGAAGTCGAGTCGAAAATGCGAAAACCAAACTAAAAAACCAAAACCAAATGAAAAACGAAAATAAATAAATAACGTAAAAGTAAAATCAACCTTGGACAATCACGCATACGCATGTAGCAAGAAAACCGGATTAAATAATGTATGTAAATTGTTTAACCCTCGGGTCGGTCGGAGGCGATAAAGGACCGAGGATAGCTTGTGTGGAATAGTCTTAGCACGTCCAGCATGGAATCCTCAAGGGCTCCGTGAACTCAACTAATCTAAACACACAAACACACACGATGCTATTCGATGATTTGATGATTCGATTGAGGGCTCGAGCCAGGTCAAGCTTCAATTAAGTGTCAATCCCCCACGCTCTTCATTTGGACCGAGAAGTATTTTTGTAAACTTTATTAAGAACACCGAAATTGAAACCAAAAACAAAAGCAAAGAATACTAAAAATATGGATGTTTTAAATGCGAAATTAAGCAGATGTAAAACAAAAGTATACTTTAGAGGCAAATTTTTGTAGTATAATTGTACACGTAAACTGCATTTCCGATGTTAGCTGAACAACCGTATATAGTATATATATAGTGTATACAGACACCCACTTATAAGTGTATGGCGACCGCGAATCGAGCGAGATACACCCGTTTTTATTGTGCTGCGCATTTTCAGCCGGCGGCTGAACTGTGAATAGTACCCTAGGTATAGGTAGCGTGGCATCGCGTGCAAACCGCATTTGCATTTGATGTAACCGAATTATGAAATTGTAGAACTAGAACCAATCGGAAATCGGTGGCAAGTCGTTGTGAAATGATCCGTGAGCGGAGGGGGGCGATGCATAAAGCATAAGGCAAACGAGAGCAACCGGAAGCGGAAGCAGGCTTCCCGCCATCCGGCCATCTTAACACGCGTTGCGTATACGCCCCGTCGGTCCCAACTGTAACTCACAATTAGGCTAGTAAGTTCGCGTTGTTTGTTATCAGTGTCGTTGATGTTGATGTTGAAATTGAAATTGAAATTGCCGTGTCATTGTTAAACGTATTCAAGTTGTAATCCGACGGCGTTCGGAATTAGCTGTTTTTGGGAACCAGAGAGGAGCGGCTTAGCAGGGCGGTACTCATCGACCCACGCAGAAGATTATACAAATTATACAAGCATTATACATACATACATAGGTGTGCATAATACCCACATATATACATTGGTGTAAAAGCTGAGGACAAGGCTCCGACTCGAACCAACCCGAAATGTCGAGAAGTTTTAATCAGCCTTGCCAAAGACTCTTCCAAATCCCTCGAGTTTCCCCCCGAACAGTAATTAGCGAAGTAACTACGTAATTCTATAGATGTGTATGTGTCTATAAATATATTTTGTAGACGTTCACTCGCCAGACGCCGCCAAGCTCGAACACTTAAAGACCCAAAGCCAACCCAGGAAGCCATCGGCATCGGTACCGGCCAGAAACCAAAAGATCTTTTCGGCAGGCTCTGAATCTGGTTCCACCAACTCGAGCCAAGAGCAAGTGCTGCCACTCTCTTGGCCAATTGGCAAACTGGCCAACTTAAGAGAGAAGCGGAGTTCGCTCTCAAATGGTTTCAAGCCGCAGCCCAAAACAAGCGAACAATGTATGAATAATTATTATAAAAGCGATGAGCAAATAGACGCTAAGCGAACAGCAAAGAAGTCATTAAATGAATCAGTCAATGGGCGACGTACGAAGCTCAAATGCCCTACACAATTAAAATAATTAACATTAAACCGAAAAATGTATTATTTATTATAGTTATAAACTGTACTTTATAAATACGTTGCATAAAGCATAGTTACTTTAAGTTTGGAATATAGTCAAGACAAATGTATTATCTAGCAATTTTATTTAATTACTAAATGGACAATATGTTTTAAGATATATTTTGTGTATTTTAATAACCCTGTGATTAATTTAATTATGTTAACAAATTCTTAAATTAGCATTCGGCATTTTATGAGCTTTCTAGCCACACTCAACTATAATTTATGGTTTGTCAATCGAATGCTAAAAATACACCTCATCCAAGTTTTGATTCGATGACTTCAAAAGGGGTTGATAAAGAGTGGAAGGCGGAAAACATCTGCGAAGCGTCAGCGTTGATAAATGTAAAACAAAAGCAAATAAAGTTTAGCAACAACATCTGAGAGAAAGAAATAAAAACGAAAACGGCCATTGAGCGATAAATACATGTTTCTCTTCGCGTGCACGCACATATGTACATATGCGCAGCGGGCTTCTGGGAAAGGGACGATGTGTACAGGGGGTTCTACCCGATAACTTGACTCACCCGACACGCCATCATCCACAGATCAGTTGGCGGTGCAACGCTCGATGTCGCCAACTTCGC